TTGCTATTGGATCCATTCTCAGTCAAAAGGATGAAAAAGGATTAGATCATCCCATATATTATGTGAGCCGACAATTCGTTGCTACAAAACGAAATTATAATACTACCGAGCGAGAGGCCCTCGGAATGATCTACTCTGTACAGAAATTCCGCCACTATCTACTTGGATACTCATTTGTGTTCCACGTTGATCATGATGCGCTTAAGTACATGATAAATAAACCTCAATTGAGCAGACGAATTGCTCAATGGATGTTAATTCTACAGAAATTCAACTTTACAATTAATGTTTGACCCAGCAAGAAACATGCCAATGCGGATCACTTATCCCGTTTATCTAATATACTGGGTAATGAGCCGATAAACGATGCTCTGTCAGATGCACAACTATTCGCTGTGGATGTCATTACACCTGAATATGGTGAATTGATCCAATATCTAACATTTCAGACTTTTTTCATTTCTTATAATGAAAAACTAAAGAAGCGTCTGATTTTAAAAAGTACGCCATATACCATGATTAGAGATGCCTTGTACAAATAAGGGCGGGATGGAATTTTATGCCGTAACATCTTTCAAAGTGAAGTTCGTACAATTTTGGAAGGATGTCATTTGGATAGTTGTGGTGGACATTTTGCGGGAGACAATACTGCTCGCAAGGCTTTAATGGCCGGATATTGGTAGCCCACAATGTTTTCTGATGCACACCAATTTGTTCGTTGTTGTGATCCCTGTCAACGAATTGGTCAACCCACAGGTATTTCAGCGATGCCGTTAGTACTAATCTTGGCACAGGCACCATTTGAAAAATGGGGAATTGATTTTGTTGGATCCATTGCACTAGCATTGAGACATGGACAAAAGTAGTATATTTTAGTCGCCACGGACTATGTAACCAAATGGACGGAGGCTATTGCTACCCGCAATAATAATGCCAGTATGGTGGCCGTATTTCTATATGAGAATATTATTACTCGATTTGGATGTCCGAAGGAATTGGTTAGTGGCCGTGGCACCCATTTCATAAATGCTACCATAGCAGCCTCGACGAACACATATGAAATCAAGTACATGAAAACAACACCATATCATCCTCGGGCCAATGGGCAAACGGAAAAGACCAATGGTATTCTATATAAGATTTTAACCAAAACAATTTCGAGAGCGGGAACGGATTGGGATACTAAATTATTTGTGGCATTTTGGGCGTATCGTACTGCATATAAAGTGACTACCAATTCCACACCATTCCAATTGGTGTACGGGCAAGAAGCAATATTATCCATTAAATTGGAAGTTCAGAGTTTATGCATTGAGTTGGATGAATGTCTTGGAGATAAGGAATCATTTCAATATCGATTGGCAGAGTTGGACAAATTGGATGAAATACAAGCTACAGCTCTCTTCAATATGGAAGCAACTCAAAAATGGCAGAAGAGTTACTATGATAGTAAACTGCGTCCGAAGATTTTTATGCCTAATGATTTGATATTGTTGTTTGATAGCAAGTTTAATTATTTTTCGGGCAAATTTCAAGTTCGTTGGCATCGGCCATATCATGTGATTGAAGGATTTTCCAATGGATCTGTTCAATTGGAGGATTTCATGGGTCATCGATTCAGTACCCACATTAACGGGAACCGATTACGATTATATCATACGTAAAACCCGGGATGGATTTTCAATTTCTGGAGGAGGTCACGTCGAATGTACTTAGGATAGACCTAATTAAGTATGTTTGGGTGTAGACGCGGGTGAAAGGATAGTTAGTAATTACTAATGTGTTAGATGGGACGAGGGTGAGAAACGGACAGTAGGGATAACATGTTGTCGTTATCACCACTAGGTAAAAGAATAGGAGTGGGGCACCCATTTATGGTCATTCTCAGTTGTCGCATTCTATTATTGTTTCTTTTTGGTCTTACAATTTCGGGTGTTTCGGAGTACTGGAGCGTAGTATTGATGGTTAGAGCTTGAAAGAGTGTACATCATGGCGATAGAGAGTGCAAAGAGAGCTATGGACAGAGAGGAAAGTGGCCGAAATGTGAAAGCTAAACGCAATTTAGGACCACCATCCGTAGTAATCATTACCAATATGGAGCCTATGAAGCTGGAGATTTGCTAGACACCAAGGAGAATACGAGATTTTTAAAACACGCAAATGTTTCAGTTTTTGCGAATGTCAGATAGTTTGCCTTCAATTAATATGCCATTAGTGGATGAATACATCGCAAACTATGACCCACATGATGGATCAAACGTAGTACAAGGGTGCGTTATCAGTGTTGATGAAAAGATCCTCGAAAAAGTATTGTTTCTTCCAGTTGGAGAGATTGCGGTGGGTGTTGAGGAGTCCAGTGACTTTCAACTAGGAAATTATTTCAAAAGTGACATGCCATTATTTGAGAAGAACTATGGTTGGCGGACGGCTGAGGCAATTACACCAGAGCTCATGAAATGGTTGCGCTTCGTGATGAGGCATTTAGGATTGTATCGACACAACACATATATGTCAAGACGATTAATGTTTGCAGTGGTAGGGACGTTTGAAGGGATGGTATTCAATTGGGCAGCTTATGTAGCAACCCGTATTCATGTGGAAATGGAAGCCAAGTACAAAATAAGGAAGTTTATAGCGTTGCTATGTTCCAATTATGTGTATGTTGTGATCGCATACACATTGCGGCAAACATCGCCAGTAGAGGGAAGTTCTGAACCAGTGCCAGTGCCTCCACCGCGAGAACGGAATTCGTTAGCACAGAATGTCAATACAACGGAGGTAATACATGAAATTGGGAAATCCAGTCGTCGAGTGGCACCGAAAACGGATCCGATTCGTTTGGTGGTGGAAGAGGAGAATGAAGTCTCGACGTTGTTAGATATCAATCAGTTAGTGTTTCCACAGGGCCAATTGTCAGAAGGCGTACATCTTAAAAATTCTTTATTGAAGTGCATTTTACAAATACATTGCATGGTACGAGCATTGGATGTAGAGGGCAGTGGTAAACTGGAATTAGAGGCAAGCAAAAAGGTGATATCGGAGCAGATACGAAGAATTGAAGAACAAGAATGGATCATTCAAGCAAATACGGAATCCAAGCTGCTATTGGAGCGACAAATTGGGGAACAATAGGAAGTTTGGGACAAAGAAAGAGAGCGCATGGTGGAGACCCACAGGCAAGAACTATTTTGAGCTTACAGTCATTCAATTTTGGAACTGGAAAAAGTGAAGGGTTAGTTGGTAATGGAACGAGAAAAGACCGAGTTATTGGTGCAAAAGAAATTGGTATTGAGTGACCAATATAGATGTGAAACAGAGCGGTTAAGGGTTGAAATTGAGGCCTTGAACGCCGAGGTGACAAGATTGGCAAAGAATTTAGTCAATATTGGTCAAGCACAAGTATCGACGTTGCCAGTTCTCGAAGTTCCAGAAGAGAGGAGTCACTTTCAGCGCTAGTTGGAATTGAGAGATGCCCAGATCTTGAAATTGGAAGCTCAAGTCCGTGAACTGGGCAAGTACAATGAAGACCTTTCAGCTCAGTTGATGCAAGAGCCGATAGAAGGATTGGAGGAGGACAAAGATTTGCAATTGGAACTGGAATCGGTGGAACCAATAACAGATACTGTGACAATTAATTAATTAAATAGGCTAGAGGGATCTCAATTTTTGTAGATTTTTGTTAGATAATTTTTAGATAGGTATCAATTGAGTGTTTGCGAGGATGCTGTACAGTTAGGAGTGGGGCTATGTAGAATAAGTAGTTATTTTTAGAATGTAGATATCTAGTGTATAGTGTAAACAGGGATAGATAACTGCTAAAAAGGTAGTTCATCAGGTAGAATGGCTGAATAGTCAGGAAAAGTAGTTATCATCTATAGTATAGGAGTTGGTATCTCGGGGTAGTATAAGGAGGATGGGAGAGGAGAAGAAAATGCCAGACTACGATAGTACTGAGTCATGGATAAGCTTGGTGCTATCTCTTCTTCTTAATTTTCTTGTTTCTTTTGTGTTAGTGTTGTTTCTAGTGAAGAGAATCGATTTAATGAATTAATGTTTGATTTACGAAGTTGTTTATAGATCACTGTTTATCAATTGTTGTAAAAGATTGAAGACGTATAGAAGTTTCCAGTCACTGTTTATCGCAAGGTTGTAAGTTTAGTGGAGAGGAATTGTAATCGAAGGAATTGACTTGATTTTGTGGATTGAAAGTTGTTCGTTCCAAGGTTTGAAATATGCTTGTGTGTTTGTGAATTACACAGGGTACTGAAATCGTTGTCATGGATGTTATTGTATTGATATGAAAGAGTGGATAGTAGGAGGAAAAGTTAAGTGTTCTTCGATTGGTAAGCATTCAGTAGTAGCAGTTAATTGCGTGATCCTAACAATTGGAGCTCATATACATGGTTATTCCCTGTGTTCGAATCTCCCTATACGGGTTTATTTTGGGAGGTTTCTTCCGGAATAAGTAAAACGAGTAATCACAGTATATAGCAATAAGTCATTGTGTAATAGATACATGTTGAATAAGATAACTCTTAGAAGAAATTGGACTAGTGCAATTGAAAGCAACTCCAATAATGTGTGGCAATTAAGGATGTCTTGCATTTACTAAGAATCTAAAACATCATTCAAAAATTGAACACATTGAGATTCAATATCACTTCATACAAGAGAAACTTAAAGATGGAATAATAAGTATGAAGTATTGTCCTACAAAAGACATGTTTGCTAATATGCTTACAAAAGCATTAATAAAGGATAGACACAATGAATTAATAGAGGCAATAAGATTGAAACCCTTTTGATAATTAGCAAAGTGGGAGTATTGAAGATCAACAAGATCTTGCATAGTTGCCACCATGTTAACTTAAATCATAGTAAGTTGCTAATAGTCAAAAAATAACAAAAATTAAAAGATGTCACTATAGTAGCAACTAAGATTTATAAGATGGCGACTAATATAAGAAGAATCTAAAATTTAATTGGAAATAAAAAAAGAATGATAAAAATGATTAAATTCATCTATTATTGATGTAAAATCTAATTATAAGTAAAAAGTATTGGAAGTGAGAATCATCTTATTCTACACTTTATTTTGTATATACCTTGCTGATGCTAAATGTTCTATCTTTTAATTTCTCTTTCTTCAATAGTTTCAATTTCCATGAATATTGGAAAGCATCCTACAAAATTTCTCATCCAAAGAGATTCCTAGAAATTTTGACTCCATAAATTCCATTTGAAAGTGGTACACCTGAAAATGGACCACCAAAGCCATTTCCACTCAAATCTAGGATGATACAAAGCACCAAGAGAAAATTGCAATTTTACATTCTGAAAGAAGACCACATTTAATGTTTACAAGTTCTGAGACTTAAGAGGGCAGAAAAATCATGAGGGTCGAATTCTCAAGATCATAGTAATTAAGGTTTTTATAAGCTAGAAGGTATTCATTAAGTGCTGAATATATTTAGATCACATAATGAGGCAAGTGGTTTGTGAAAATATATGAGGAAGGAATAGGTATACTAAGGTGTGGAAATCAAGTTTTGAAAATCACATAAAATTCATAATTAACAAGCTGCAGTTTCGTTCCTTGAACCATCCTTGAGCACTGCTTTAATTCTTTGGGATCAAACTAAGATAATGGAAGCATCAAGCACTATGATTTGACCACTATAGAAATTCCGATGCTGAAAGGCAGGAAGTACAAAACATGAGGATGTAGCATACAGGATTGCACTTACACTGAAAACGGGAAGGTGAAGTTGGGAGAAACTTGTGGTGGAAGGCCTTCAAAATTGTTCCACGTTAGATTCCTACAACAAGTTTCATACTTGAACCCTTTAATTTAGATTGAAATAAGATAATCCACAGTTTAGTGAGACTGCAAATCATGCAACGCACTTCTTTATACCTCAAGAATAGACGTTACTATGAATTCATAACCAGAACTCTTTTGAGAAAGAACTGAATAGGGTTGAAGTCACTCACAAGTCTATCAGACCGGTCATCAGAGCATAATTTGGTGCTTGGCCCATGAAGTTTTTCGCAGACAGGTGCCTTCAGCATTACAATTTATGCATCTCCTTTTGTGGCATGGAGAATGGGTAGCCCAATCGACCACAGCATCAAGAGAAAAAATAAACTGTCTCATTGATTTAGGAAGCCCCTACTCAGCCTAACCATCGAATCACGCAGTATCGGCAGAAGTACACGTGTGTAGTTTACACTCACAAATTTACTAGATTGTACAAATAAGAGAGATCTGGTGTTTGGCCTGTGAAGTTGTTCTTAGACAGGTCCCTGCAGCACGATAAAGAAAACATGAAGAAAGAGATTAGCCCTATTATTGCTTCAAGAGATGTTTAATGGAATTCAGTGCTTTTAGTCTGTAATCATAATGTTGATACCAAAATTGTGTTGGTTAATCCAATATATGGTTCTAAAAACTCTCAGAAGATCCCTTCTCTCCCTAATTGTTCACTTAGATAGTTTTGGCGGAAGTATTTTATGTTTAGCTCGTTGAATGTACTCACAAGTAAGTCAGGTTGAATAAGGAAGACACATCTGGTGCTTGGCCCGTGAAGTTGTTCGCAGACAGGTCCCTGAAGCAAGATGACGCAAAAGATTTAGCAACATGGAGAATGAGAATCGCCCTAGTATTGCTTCAAAAGATAAATGAACAAACTGAGACTGAAACCTCATATTTGATAAAAGAGCAGATTTCAGTGAGCTTGGTAGGATATCATGCATCTGTATGAAACCTGAATCCACCTTCATAATAAGAATTCAATACTTTTAATCTCCTCAGAGTCACAATTTCGGTACCAAAATTGTGTCGTTTTATCCAATATGCGGTTCTGAAGACTCTCAGAAGATCCTAGTACTCTTGCTAAAGTACTTCCAGTAAGATAGTTTTGGCGGAAACATCATATTCAATATAACGGCAGATTTATAGTGTCAAAGAGGGATTGGGGATGTGTAGGGGACAAGGAGTTTGCAACGGAATGATGAAGTGGCAGAGAGGGTGAGGCGGAAGTATTTTTGTTTAGTGTTGAAGTACTTCAGGCTGTGTAAGGAAGAGACAGTTGGTGCATGGCCTGTGAAGTTGTTCCATGCCAGGATCCTGCAACAAGAATAAGCAAAAGATTTTTCTACACAGAGAATGAGATTAACCCGAGCATTGCTTCAAATGATATATAAAATTACCAATTGATAATTCTCCAAAGATCCCTGCTCTAAATAACCACTTATTCAATGGATTTTGAAGATAGTACTTATGGGCAGAGGCGATTACGCTCACAAAGCTTCCAGGCTGTACAAAAAAGAGACATCTGGTACTTGGCCTCTGAATTTGTTCCTGGCCAGGCTCCTGCAACATTCCAGCAAGGTTTGGCAAAAACTTTTGTACGTGAGATGAAGAATGAGATTTCACGCCCAACCATAATTTTCATAGTTCACCAACTCGTGTGACACAATATATTCTTGTGAACGGTTACATGTATGTTCTTGAAATCGCTAAAGATATTTTATGCATTAGCTATTGCAGATGTCGCATATGAACTGTGTCAAATACTCACATGAATTCAAGGTTGCTCAGCAAGCATATTTCAGGCGGAACAACGCCCGCTATTCCCTTCTCCCACAAATCCCTACATTCAAAACGTTGAAAATTTATGTGCTGTCAGCACTGGTAACCAGGATTGCACGTTGCAAGTGAGTGACTCTAGTGCTCTGAGGAAAATCATATTCAGCATTTGGGACAAACATAGCTCTGCATAGTAACGACGTAGAGTGACTCTCTCATAATGGCAACTGGGTTAATCAGCTTGGGTAAAACCTAATTCCAAATGGATACCGACAGCATGACAGAAATTTTGCCATCGACTACCTCTGACGAGAAAAAAATTCTACGCCGTGAAAATAATTAATACATTTGAAGGACCTACGTTTAAATTATACCAGTGCTACTGGCGACTAATGAATGAAGGTATGTGGAAGAACATTCTCAGAATGTCGGACGTATCCATCATGTAGGAATCAATTGAAAATCATATTCTATTGCTGAAGAGACAATGTGATCATTCTTACAGTTGAGTGATTACTAGAACGTTCAATTTCGTGGTTGTGTTCCTAATTTCGCACTTGATTCCTCCCCATTCGCAAGGGCTATAAGAATAATTCCCCCAGTTCGGCAAGTTTGCTGCGGGGGTGTCGTTTCTCCACGCTTGCCAAAGGACCTGCGTTCCAGCCACTACTCCCATCCCCAAAATCAACTTTGCATATCTCAGTAACTCAGAATCTCAATGGAACTTGGTAATCTACAAAATCTTGACCAGGCTGCAAGAGATTAATTACTCGAGACGAAGTCATCCCAAATAAAAATTCACAAGTAGACAAAGAAGGGGGGTTCAACAAGAAGACGATACACTTCAATGCCGACACTGAATGTGCAATTCCTCTGAAGAAACGTACTCTCGTCCGATGACACCTTATGAGGCCGCAAGTCCACACCGTGGAGGAGCCCGGAAAGGCACAGCAACACCCCAGCAAACAGCCAAACACATTCAGTTGTACATGACCCATTTGATCAGTCGCCTCCGATCGATCAAAGTGACCCTCGCAACACCTCGCTCGCTGCCAAGGCGTGACGTGCAATCACGTCCGGCCCGCGGGACGTGTTTTTTTTTTTTTTTTGAAACAAACTGAGAGATACTTCATTGTCTTGTGGGACCATAAATTACAGCCAACCCAGCCGCATGCGGCCTGGGTGGGACGGACTGACTCGATTAACTTTACTATGCATACCACTGACGGTGACCCACCTTAACTTAGGAGACCGTCAGGCCTCCGCCCAGCGGCGGGACTCGACTGGGAAGACAACGTCCCAGTACCAACGTCCTTCTACGGTGGCTGGAAAACAAAACCTGCCATGGGGCCAGAGAGTACCCAGTGAGGAGTCCCGCCTAACATAATAGAGAAGAGACCCTGGCTGCACCATCTCTTTGCCAATCAGAGGACTAACTTACTTGGGACTTACTAGCCATGCATGCGGTTGCCCACTCTACCTTGCTGTAATCTAAGATGCCAAGGGGATTTAGGTTTAATGTTTTTGGGCAACCAAATATCAAGTGTTTTTGGTTTTTGGGAATGCAAATATCACAAATTGATTAACATATCACCTCTCCAAATATCACAATGTCATACTGTAATTGTTCATATTATGTAAAAATTAACTAAAATATATAATATATTTATAAGTATTGATGTGTATTAGAGTGGTTAGTAGGTTAATTTAAAGAGAGTTGATGTAAGAAAATTTATTTTGAGGTTTACTTATTTTGATTATAGTGTTTAAATTATATAGGATATAGATATTTAGTATAAAATTTAATGAGAAGATTGAGGCTCAAAGATTAAGATCCAAATCTCTAAGAAACTTGTTTGGAAGGATGAAAGAAAATAATTTGGAGGAATGAAGGCAAAGAGTGAAAATCCTCATCCTAATTGATAAAAAGTCATACCCAATAGGCTCTTAGAAGGCTATCCACAACCACAACAAGGATTTTGGCAACTTCAAAAGAGGCATTTAAAAATCAAAAGAAAGGATTAGAAGGTTTAGAACTTGGACTATAATTTGTATACAAATTTTAGAGGATTTGGAGTTAAGGTGTCTTTTTAAGACATAATGTTACTTTTTGAGGATACAAGGAGTTTTACAATAGCTTTTGGAGATCAAAAGATGTATCTACAAAGATGATTTCAAGATCTACATCTTTTGTGAAAGAATTTCTGCATTTGGAGTTTGTATGAAGGAATTATAGAATATTGATAACAGTATATGTAATTCAAAGGCCATAAGTAAGTTGTTTTTTTGATATTAATGGTTGGAGCCATATCTTGAGTTTCTAAATGAATTTTTGGCTCAAAATTTCCAAAAGTGTACATTATTAGGTTAAAAAACTATATACCTAAATTTTATGGCATTTGAATCATTCAAAATATCACCTCCTCAAATATCATCATTCAAACTTGAATACCTTTTTTAAGTTTTTGAAGTATCACTTAATATTTTGGTGATATATTAAATGATATCAAGTCGACCTAATATATTGATTTAACATTCAAGAATAAATCTTCTCACTCTTTTAAACTATTCATTATACCTTTGAAAAAGATCTTGAGTCTTATAAATAGTAGTAAAAGAAATCATTTCAATGTAAAAGAATATGTAGCAATTGTCAATTGGTTGAATGATTTAGCAAATTTTAAAAAATTATATATTTTTAGCAAGACAAAGATATGTGAGAAATAAATGAGCAAGAATGGATCTTTGGTATAACTAATTACCTAGATGAATAAAGCATTAAAGGCCAATTTTAACCTTTTTGCATCAAATATGTTAAATTGATTATATACTTTTAAAGATAAATTTGTGGCTGCATATGATTGGTCAATAGATATGAACATTGGCATCAATGATAAGGATAGTAAGCAAGGTATATACACAATGGCTATAAAGTTGGAAGATAAGTATCTATTCTTCAATAAGATTCATACTTTATATGATACAAGATCAAATATAATCTTACTCTATGAAAATGATTCCGCCTTAGTAATAGATACAACATTGTTGTAAGACTCTACAATAGTGTCAATAATCAATTTACTAAGTAAATTATCTAATTTGAATTTGTTGCCTAAGAAATCATTCCTCAACGATATTTGGGAAGCTTTATTATAAGATGAATTCAATGAACCAATAAAGTGTATGAGAAGGAACATGTTTTTTTTATTTCCTCTATTTTTTTTTTTCCTATTTCCATTCATTTTTTCAACATTGCCTTATATGTAATATGCATTCCTTGGTAACATTGCCACTATCACTCCAAAAAGAAGAATCACCTATTGCTAATTTCAAAGTCCAAAGAAAAATCTCTAAAGGGATGCATTATGATGGAGAATATGTTTGTAGAGTCATTACAACAAAAAACTATTATAATAATAAAAAAATTGGCTCTACTAAAATACAAAAGTGAAAGAACTAAGATTATGTTATAAAAAGAATTCAAAATAAAAGAGATGCTAAAAAGAGATAAGATGATATTTGATGAAGAGAAATTCACTATAGAGCAAAAAAAAAAAAAAAAAATGATTTAAAAATATGATAGAAAAGACAAGTTCTTTGATCTTATTTAGTCTTAGAATAATGTGCAATTGCTTTTTATTTATTTTTAATTGAAAGAGTTATTTTAAGAAACTATCTTTCTTCTACTTATTTTTTAATCATATAGTTTAGTATCCTAGCAACAACAAGAAAGAGATAAGGAGCAAGAGAACATCTTAAATGAACTCATCTACCTATAGTAAAAGAGGGAGATTGGAATCTATTTACCTTTAAATTTTTTGATACATTTATAAAGAGCATTCCTTTCATGACTACAAATTTACTTAAAAATCCATACTTTAACATAGCTTAGAAAAGAACTAACCAATCTACTATATCATAGGCTTTAGAAAAATCCAACTTAAAAAAATGAAAAGCTACTTGGAGTAATGAATCCACTCTATGGCCTCAATTATGACTAAAATATCATTTAAAATAAAACATATTGATAAAAAGGCCAACTAATAAAAAGAGACAATTTCTATGAATATTGGTTGAAGGTGGATTTGTATTGCCTTGGCATATATTCCATAGGCTACATTCAAAAAAGTAATTGATTTTCAATTGATTAAGCTTGTCCTATGTCCACTTTTAAAAAAATAGAGATATGAGCCTTCTTGTGACTCCTTTAAAAAGTAACTAATATGAACAACTTTTGTTATCATGGCATAATAATCATTTTTTATAACATCTCAAAAATAATTAAAGATTTATGTGATAATTCTATCAATCTTAGTACTTTTTTGGAAGCCATTTCTTCCAAAGCTTCTTTTAATTCTTACAGTGTAATTGAAGCACATACCTTAACTTTCATATTGCTTCTTAATCAATTACTTACATTGTCTAAATATTCTATTGCTAATGTAGCAACTTTCAAAGATGAAAAATTATTGTATATAGGTCTATATAGAAATGAAAATACATTTGGCTTATTCAAAGTGAAGAAACTCTAGATTAATATAAAAAAATTCTTAGTTAAATTTTGAATATTTTAGATTTCTTCTAAATATTCCTAAAATACTAAAAAGATATTAATTTGATGCCTCCTAAGATACCTTCTTTATATAAATTTCTTCTAGATTTTTTATACTAATCATATTTTTTCTATTATTACTATTTAACTTATATTTAGCTATTTCTAATCTAATTTTTTTATCTAATTATTATAATTGGCATTCTAATTGTAATTTTTTTATTCTAATATAAATTATAAGTCAATTTGGTGACTCATACTCACCAATGTATTACATGTAGAAGATAAGTTCTTAATATCAAAGAAGATACTATTTTTATAAGATAAATATTTATAAGATGGTACTCAAGTACTAGCTATACTAAATCAAGTATACATGTTCAAATTAAATAGTGTATATATGAATCTAAAAATCAAATATTTTGTCTACGAAAATTGTTCCTATTTTAACCACTTATTATTAATAAACTACATAGTCCAACTTCTTGATCTGCCTTATCAAATTTTTTTATTAAAAATTAATGTCCTACACTTAAAAAATAAGGAGATTTGTCATTGTATTGAATAATTCTAGTTCTTCTACCTCTATTGTAATTTTGTATAAAAATTCCAAATAGCAATCAAATTTTATCATAGATATTGCATGCAAAGATTGCAACACTTTTGATAGAAAGAGATATAAGGGCTATACCAGCTTTTGCAACTAATAGCCAAACTTGAGGCAAATTCATTGAATTCAAAACCGCATAGCAAGCTAAGCATGGTGTTAGATAAATTACAATACATAGAAAATAAGAAAGCCAAAGGCAACTAGATATAAAGTCATATCAAATGGAATAAGGTAGATGATGTTAATATAAAAGAATTCTTTTAGATAATAAGAAAGTGCTTAAAAGCATCAATCATCACAACACTAAAAGTTGGTAGGGCAAGTGTCACATTATAAAACCAGCATAATTTTCTTTTGTTGTTGGTTCCTTTCTTCTCCTTGAACTTATTGTTGTGATTTGATAGAGTCAATTAGTCACATGAATTGTGGTAGATAACAAGACTTGGCTAAGTCATAGAACTATGTGATTCTTACATTGTTTTTTTTTATGCTACTATGTAGTAATTGATTTTATTAGAGAGATGATGAATTATTGTAGTTTTTATTTTTTGCTTTTAGAGAAAGTAGAGGCTGTGGATTGGAAGATAGGATGTTGTAATGTAGTAGTCTTCCTTATTATTTGCTTATTTTGATTTTGTGTCTACACTTATATATATTAAAATTATTTGGACGTATTTTTCTCTTCCTAACTTACTTGTTTTAGTAGAAAGAAGCACGATATTGTAGACTTGGACTAGGGTTGTAGTTGACATAGCAAATTGACTTTTATTTGGATGTGGAGATAGTATAAAGGTATATGCTGTGACTAGTTATAAGCAAGCAATAATATCAATTGTTTGGACTTTTGATTGACATTGAATTTGTCCAACATAATCCTTAGACATTATTGGAGTGAAAGAATTTTCTTTAAAAAAACACAAGATTTATGGTTGCAATTAGATATGGTCAAATAATAACTTTCATTTAAATGAACTCTACTACCTCATACTCATAATAGTATGTAAGAGTTGTCACCTTTTTTTCATTCAAGTAGTTGCCATAGTTCCATACTTTATTAGATTTGATCATGTAATGGCTCTTTGAAAATCCAAACAAACCATACATATGCACATCAAATTTCACCTCCTAAAATTTTCTATAACATATTTTATGAGCAAAAAAGCCATTGTTTATATTAATAAAAGGTAATTGACTCTTCTTTATC